GCTTATTACTCTTGCCACAAATATCGCTCCCCTTCTCCCACTTCGGGGTACAGTAGAACGTGGAGATGCCTAGCCAGGCGACCAGCTCTTGTCGCCGCCCAATTGTCACCTGACGGCTGGCAAGCCATGCTCATCCCCTTCGTCCTGCTTTTCCATCCCCCAGAAATCTCCTCCTCTACCTTGCCCTTAGTGAAAGCGCTTCTGGCCCTGAACCAGGCATTGAATTTGTGGATGAATTGTACCTCGTCAAACGTGTTCTGTGATGAGTGTGAGAGCGGATATGCGGACTTGAAGTGTAACCAAGACGGCATGGTTACTGAGCTGTAAGCTTTGTCATGAGATCTTGCTGTGCACTCTGGAAAAGGAGTAGCGGGTACATGGGGAAATGTGAGAGTACGACGGCTTATGCTGGCTTTGCTAGCTTGCCTGGACTTTATTATGCTATTTCTAGCTTGGGTTTATTTTATCATGCATAGATATGCTTGATTTCTTAGGTTAGGTGCATTCCTATATTTTATTATAGTTATAGCACCGAACCAGGTTACGTGTACCGAACTCAAGCTTATTCGGTTCCCACCGAATTGCTTTCTACCGAGTTCGGGAAGGTTCTGTTTGGGACGCTTCGCGACCCTCTGAACATTCGCCTAACACCTGGGTTACCTGCCTTGTGTCGAGCCTATATATAGCCTCGCATTGTACCCAGGTGGATCATTCAATTCAGAACTTCTTTCCTGAACTCGATCCTAGATGCTCACAGGGAAGGAGGTAAGTGGGGATGGGGATAGGGGGAAGGCAGGAACTGCGACCTAATTGGAGAGAACTTGCATGCCTTTGCTCCTGACACAGTGTGCAGCACGCATTAGTGAACCTGCTGCAGCAATGCCGCCGCTTCTATCGAAATCGTACAACATTATCCACGTGTTTCTTTCTTTCATTCTTTCTTTTTGCCTTTCTTTTTTCCATTTCACATCGCATGTTACGTAATGTAGGTCCGCATTCGTTATTGATTCGTATGGCGACGTGCCAGCAGCCATCACAGCCCTCTCTGTGCTTCAGAAACTGTCAGTGCTTACCATTGTTGGGGGGAGCCAGGGTGGATGGCTGTAGGGGTACTTAAAGGTCCACAGATTGGGTTGTTGAGGGTGCGCTGAAACACCATTGGAACATGTGTGCTGGCGACCTAGAAAAATCCTCACACAGAGTATAATGCTTCTCACATAGTTGGGAATTCCCTGTGTATCTCTTGCTCTCATTCCACCTGCCGCTCCATAGGTACTACTAGTTTTTCTATAAACATCCGCAAACCCTCGAAGCTTGAAAGGTACAGGACCTCGAAGCTTAGACTCTTGGGTTCGTTTCTCATATAGTCACCCTGCCTCTTGCATTGCATGTCAGAATGTTATTATCTAGCCTGTAGTGGGGTGCTCTATAGCGAGTACAACCCTGTTAGGGTTTGCTATATGTATCCCAACTACTGCTAGTGAAACCCCTCCTTTGCTTATTCTCTCTTGCCTAGCTAGCTAAACCTTAGCTATGGCTACTTCATTCTAACTACGATTATAACATGGTATCAGAGCGAAGGTCTCGGGTTCAAATCCCAGTGTGTGCACTTCGGGCATCCCAGTGCGGGGGGGTGTCAGAGGTCCACTGGTGATCCCCGATTGATCCTAGGGAAGGATTACAGGCATGTTGGCCTGGGGGGTTATGGGCGCACTGACCCGCTACTTAACAAGCCCTTTTATCCCAATGGTCTAGTGGTTGGGATTCTGACATGGAATCAGAGCTGTTACGCTCTTGGCCTGTGGGTCCGCCTACTGCTTCCGCTGCTACTGTTCTGCTGGTCGCGCGACACTTTTTCATCCCGCCGCGGGCTCGTGGCGCGTGGCGGTTTTCTGCCCGCCATGCGCTCGGGACGCGTGGCGGTTTCCTGCCCGCCGCGCACCCTGGGCACGCGCGGCGGTTTCGCGTTCCGTCGACCCGCGCGCCCGTCCCCGTCGACCTTCGCGCGGCTCCCCGTCGCCCTTCGCGGCGGCCCCGTCGACCCGCCCGCGGCTCCCCGTCGCCCTTCGCGGCAGCCCCGTCGACCCGCGCGTGGCTCCCCGTTGCCCTTCGCGGCGGCCCCGTCGACCCGCGCGCGGATCCCTGTCGCCCTTCGCGGCGGCCCCGTCGACCCGCGCGCCGCCCCCGAGGACCCGTGCGCTCGTCCCCGTCGACCCACGCGTCGCCCTGCGGCCCCCCCCTCCCCGGCACACCTGAGTTTGCTTACCGCACACCCGAGTTCGCTTCCCGCACACTTGTGCACGATTCGCGCACACCTGAGCTCGCTTACCGCACACTCAGGGTATGGGGGTGACGGGTATGGGGGTGGCGGGTGTGTGAACCGTCCCCTCCTCCTCCTCCTCCGTCTCCCACTGCTGCAGCTGCCGCTGAGGGGGGTGGGTGTGTGGGAGCCGAGGGGAATGGCGCTAGGGGGGTGACGTGCGAGTGGAGTTAGGGGTTCAGCAGGGGGTGTGTGTCAAGGGTGTGGGTCAGTTGGAGGAGGTTGTGTGGAGGTAGCTGTCGTGTCGCCTGCAGCGCCTGTAGTCCGTCGCCCTTGCTTCGGTAGCCAGCGAGCCTGTTGCACTAGTCGCCAGTGGGTCCGTTGCTCCTGCCGCTCGTCTTAGCCGCGGAGCCAGTCACTCCAGTAGTCCGTCGCCCTTGCTTCGGTAGCCACTGAGTCAGCCGCTCCTGTGCCCGTACCCTAAACCCTAGCTATGGCTACTTCATTCTAACTACGATTCTAAGATTGCATTGCGTTGCATGCCACTCTGTAGGGATCTGTCAAGAAATGGCTTCGTTGGACGCCTGGAGATTCTCGGCCAGTTCCCCAAGTTGCAATATGTGTACACAACTACTCCCCTTCCACCATTGCACTTTCTCACCTATATACCCACCTTCATCGTTCGAGTCGAGTCAATGGTTGGTTTATCATCGGTTTCCCTTCCTTGTCGCTCTCTCCCACATGTGAGCTGTGCGTACCCCCCCGCCCACTCGGTTGCCATGGCACACACTAGAGATCTGAGCCACACCAACTTCGGAGGATCCATCCCGAAAACCATCAGCAATGCCAAGAGCCTGTAGTACCTGTAAGAGGGGGCTCTAGTGTCAAGGCAAGGCAACAGGGCATGATGAAACATGATTCTGGCGTTCACCTGCTGCCCTTATCACATGAGGCAGAATCAGAATCCGGGATTCCATCACGTGTCTAGCGTGGCCGACGGGGGCAGTTCATCTCGCGGCTATGGAGAGTGCTTTCATTCTTGCCTTTCTTTCTTTCTTTTTGTTATGTAGCATGCACCCTACTTTACCAATTTCCGAAATTCAATCTTATCTATTAGAGTGCCAATGAACATTTTCCCCTACTGGCACGTTCTTCTGTGCACCAACTCGTATGCATCCCATCCCCGTAACCTCCAGGGCCTGAAACTCAGTGGAAGTCTCCCTGGCAGCATCAGTCGCCTCATTGCACTCCAATCTCTGTATTTCTTCCCTCACCTCCCCCAACCTCCTTCCTTTCGTTCCTATTTCTCTCCCTTGTCCTCCTCCACCCCCAAGCTTGCAAGCACATCGCTTGAACCTCGTATTGACACGTTGTTTTGTGCCCTCTCCACTTCCCAGCCGCTGCTCCCCTTTCTTTCGTAGCGCACCAGTCCGTTGCAAGCATGTAAACCCCCTTTCCCTCTGTCTGCAGTGGCCCCAACAGGCAGGCACATTGGAACACCACGGCAGTATTTTGACTCATTTCCTCATGGATATGCATACGACCCTCCAACAGAGTGAGACTGATGGGGATGAATGGAATGTGGCTCTTGCTGCCTGCTGGTGCATGCCATGGAGAATGCCATGGTGCATGCATGATGTGTGTGAATCGCCATCAACATATTTGCAGAAGCTGTAGCAGCGTAGCAACATGGCTACGGAACAGAATACTGTGTATGCTCAGGCAGTCAAGGGAAAATGTGTGACTGCACCTCAAGAACTTGATGCTTGGGAGGCTCTTGGGAAGAATCACTGGCTGATGTGATGCGAACCACATGGTTCTGAAGCACACAGTGCAGTGCTGCAGGGCAGCTCATGTGACGATGAGGCCGTCCGTGTGTGCACACCTTCCATGCCGCAGCTCGCACTCCACCTTCCTTACCGCAGCTCACCGCCTTCTATTCTCCTAACATGCTCAATTCGACGTGCTCACTGTTGCATGCACCCACCCAGATGGGGCTTCTGCTCCACCGTTTCTGCTGTGACTGCTGCTGCAATTTGAGGATTCTCAAAAGCCTCCTGCGCGATGGTTCTACTGTGGCGCCCTTTTACGCCATGGGCAACACGCAGCCCACAGAAAGCTAATCACTCCACCCCCTGGCCCGCCTCCTTTCACCCTGCCATCTGTCGCTCTCGCAGTCTTGTACCCATTGAGCAGTATCCGCCATTCCCTGGGATGCAAGGCTCTATGGACGACCTCTCATGTCTCCCAGTCGCAACGAAGCAAGAGACGACACTGAGGGGAAAGGCGAGGTCCGGACGAGTAGTCAACGGTTACATGAGACAGCCCACAAGCTCTACGTAGGGACCACTGGACTCAAATGGCTCGATGGGAAAAGAGCCGGTGAGTCTGTGGTCAACAGCAAGAGGAGTGGGCTGTGTGGTGGAGAATTGAATCAACTCCACCAAACAGATTGAGGTGCTGGAGGCTCTTGGGCAGTCTCTCTCTCACCATGCTTTCTCATCTCCGTGTGGCAAATTCTAGCAGACGCCCCTTGAGATCCGCCTATTGTTACCTCAGCAATGCATAAACGCCCTTTTGATTAAGCATGTAATCATTAGGTTGCGTTGCGTTGCGTTCCCAACAGCCCAAGATTGGCATTCTGCCGTACTATCGTGCTTCCATAATTTCTAAAGCTTGTGATATTCCACCGAGGCTGCACTCGGGCATGACATTGCAGTATGTATCACAACCCTGACTCATGTTCCTCCAGTACAAGAGCTCTGAACCACATCGCACACCCCCCAAGAGTGTGGCAAAGAAGCATTCTCGCCCCTACCTCACCGTGCATGCCTTCACATCTCCTCCACATCCCCTCCCCTCCACATCCCCTCCCCTCCACATCCCCTCCCCTCCACATCCCCTCCCCTCCACAGCCCCTACCCTCTATATCCCCTCCCCTCCACGTCCCCTCCCCTCCACATCCCCTCCCCTCTACATCCCCTCCCCTCCACGTCCCTCCCATCCACGTCCCCTCCCCTCCACATCCGCTCCCCTCCACATCCGCTCCCCTCCACATCCTCTCCCCTCTGCCTGCCCTGACTGCATGCAGAGACCTCTGCATCAATCAGCTCACCTCCATGCCTTCTACCATCAGTGCCTTCTGCGAGCATCTGTAAGTCTTGGGTGATTGACATCGCATTGTTCTCTCATGTTTTTGGTGCCTTGTCCCAGAGGCGAAGAACATTAGCCTAAGCCACCTCCTCCCTCAGCCTTATCATTCCATGTCGTGTCTTGCTATGCCGTGCCTTGTCCTGCCATACCGTGCCTTGTCTTGCCATGGTGTGCCATGCCACATTACCCTTGTTAGCATGGAAGAGAGCCGAGCATGCAAGCGGGATGGCTTGCACCTGGTTATGGGATGGTGCAGGCGGCACGGAAACGGAGGTGGAAGCTCATGCGGCATGCAGTGCACATGTCTCATGTGCCTTGCATCATGCCATGGCCCTTGGGTCACTAAATGCTCACTCCTCACTACAGCAATTCCCTTCTGGGATATTCAATGCATGCATGTTACCATCGTCTTACTCCCTTCCACCATCGCCCATTCAACCTCTCCAGTTCCATGGCTCACAACCAGCTTCAAGGTCCCCTTCCTTCTGCCCTCGTTTCCGACAATCTCTGGACTCTGTAAGCGCGCCTTGAAGTTGCTTGGTCCCGGTATGGAAGGAAGGACGGAGGCAAGGGCGTGTGCTCAAGTTGTCTCTTGATTGAGATCCCTCAAAACGACCACAATGCTCATTGTGTATGTGCGATTGTGAACTCTTTCACACACACTGCTGGTCATTCCCCCATCCCCATCCCATGCAAACCATGCCTCCACACAGTGAGCTGCAAGGCAACGCTTTCTCTGGCTCGCTACCCAACTTTGCTTTGTGGGAAACCCCTTGGTTTAGTGAACAGTGAGCTCACTGCCTTGTTCTTACCTTCTCACACTGTCAGCTCACTGCCTTGTTCTTACCTTCTCACACTGTGAGCTCTCTGCCTTGTTCTTATCCTTCTCAACCGATGTTCATCTATGTCAGCAATTCATGTGCCCTTTGGATTTTTTTCTTGTTTACTCCCCCCATTTTTACAAAGACAGATCTGATCTAGCAGCCACGAGCCACATCTGAACTAGCAGCCATATACCTAGCATCGCAGAGCTCTAAGTGGCTGGAAGTCACTAGAATATTTAGCAAAGTTACACTTTCCCTCACCTGCGCCGATCCACCATGTCCCCTCTTTACCCTTCCCACAACCGCCCACCATCACCATGCCCCACTCAATCCCCAGCAACGTCAGCGACAACCAGCTCAGCTCAAAATTCGGAAGGGATGAATCATAGGCTAAGGGCTGATGACCTGATGTCAGACACGAGCTAGGAATTCACCCTTACTCCATCACTTGGTATGCGAGCTGGCGCAACAAGTTCATTGGATACCGCACATGCGATGATGGCAACATCTGTCCCCCGCCAAAATGAGGTTCGGTGGTGAGAGTGGGAGCTTTTGCACCAAAACCTCCATCAGCTTTGAAAATAAGGGGCTGGTGGGGGTACATACGATGCCCGGTTGAGCCCCCCGACCTTGCCTTACCCTCTAGGCTTATAAGTGATTCTGGCATTTCGCGGAGGTTTCGTCAATTTGTTTCAGGCAAAAAGGGCTCATAATTTTTTTTGTAACTCACCGTTGACTGTTTGACTGCAGTCTTTTCAGTCAGACTTCAGTTTCTGTGGTTCGTATTGGTCGACGTGCTTGTAACGTGGGTGCAACCTCACGGCACGAAACCCACGGGTGCAAGGTTTCCATCTGGTGCAAGGCAATTTCGCATGCAGTGGGTGAGCATCATGTGTACATCGATGGTGGGGGAACTTGAGAATGCGTTGTTAGTGATACAACTCAGATTCACCCACGGACAGATGTGATGTAACAGTTACTCCCCTATCGGACGCCGTTACTTTTGATCTTGGCGCTGGAACAACTGTAACAATGAAGGAAACAGTACACATGATGCCCGTTTGAGCCACTCCCGGTTGCCTTGTAAAGAGGGCTTATAAGCTGTAACCCGAATTTCGCCTAAATTTCGTCGATTCGCAGCGAGCAAAAAAGGATTCGTCAGGTGCTTATAAAACTCTTGTAACCTATCCGTTGACATTTTGACTTCAGTCTCTTCAGTGTGACTTCGGTCTGTTCGTTACTATTGGTTCATAACCACTGCAACTTGCGCGACGTGCTTATAACGGGCGTGCAACTGGCTGGGGAAAAAACCTCGGGTGCAGGGTTTCCATCCGGTGCGGGGCAAATTCACGTGCACGGGTTAGGCAAGGTCGTATCTTCCAGATTTACCCATGGACAGATGTGATGTGACAGGTACTCCCCTATCCGACGCCGTTACTTTGGCACTGGAATGGCTGTGACAATGAAGGAAACAGTAGACAATTGGGCAAGGCAGTATCCACCCAACCCAGAACAGCTGTGAAATTGGTGGTACACCTGTTTCGCGCCACACTGGCATTGGGATGCACTGGCTACAGTGCGTTCTGTTGCTTGGAACGTAGCAGTCTGGTGCTTACAACCGAACTGCAGATAGGTGACGGGCAAATGTTCTCCTGGTGAAAGGTACACAACGGTTTTCAAAAGAAAACTTGCTTTGGCGTACGGTTGAGTGCGGGAAAACGTGCTTAAAGCAAGGGTGCACTTTGGGGGGGGTGGAGGCAAAGGTTTATCACTTGCCTCCACATGGTTACCCTGTTTGTGTTGGGAGTCCGAGCGAACCACACTACAGTGTTAGCACACTTGCGCGGATTGTCTCTCCCCCCGTCGTCAATTGCGACGGGCCAACTCGGAGTTGGGAACTTGATCACAACCAGGCAGTTTGTGAACCATAACGCTGTAACAGTGCAGCAGCCGAATGCTGCCAACTGCAATGCAGGTGGGCGGAAGTCAATCGTAACAGTGCAGCAACTCAACTCCAAGAACAGTGCAGGTGGGCGGAAGTCAAGCGCCACCTCACCTACAGTTCGGATTGGTCAAGCGCCCCATCCTGCAGCTGGGCGACCAGATTCCGACACGCAGCCCAAGTCAATCCCACGCACGAAAAGTACGAAATGCAGGACTCCGAAGTTCCGACCGCTCGCCGACTTCGCCAACAACACCGACGAAATTACAGCCCCGTAACCAAGCTCGCCGTCCAATCCCGTACCGCAATAATTCTCTGAATTTCACGGCAGGTTCATCTCAAAGGGTTGGGTTACCATTGAGAAATTCAGAGAGAGAGTCGCGACTTGGGAGTGCGACTCGATGTTTGAATGTGATAAAATTGTACTGTCAAATTTGTGAAGTCATAGTGAAATTTCCAGAGAATTCCAGAGAGCACTTCATCCCCGTCTCCTAGCCTACTAAGGCTGCTACTTCCCTGCCACAACGTTTCACTGGTTAGTCACTTCGCACGCTCCTGCCATATTCTAGACCCTATGGCTGGGCCGTCGGATATGACTCCGGAACTCTGGAACGAGTTTGTCGCCAATATGCGCCGAGAAATTGAACGCGAGGTGCGTGACCGGATCCTCGGTGAACTCCAGGAACGTGGACTCCTGGGCACACAGGTGCCGGCGCCAGCACCTGCTGTGGTCTCTGCACGTCCGAGAGCACCTGAACCTGAGCCGTTTGTCCCTGGAAAACGAGACTTACCTGTGCGAAGATGGCTCTTCCAAATGGAGGAGTACCTTTCCCTATGCCACGTGAACCAAGCCGAATGGGCACGGCACGCCGGCATGATGCTGCGAGGTGCTGCTGCTACTTGGTGGCAGAGCTGCCACGCTACAATTTCAACCTGGGAGGAATTTTCAGCATCGCTCACCATGAACTTCGAACCTGTCAACGCGATTGAACGCGCTCGTGACAACCTCGCTGCACTACGACAACACCGCTCCGTAGCCGAATACGTCAACCGCTTCCGGGAGTTGGTGCTGGAGATTCCCGACATCCCTGCCTCCGAGCAGATGGACAAGTTCAAGCGCGGGCTGAAACCAAAAATTCGCACCGAAGTGGAGCTTCGCGGATGCACGTCAATGGATGATATGATCCGTGTGGCGGAACGCTTCGACACGATCAACTTCGCTGCGTTCCAATGCTTCAACGGCATGAGGATGGGTCACACGAATCACACTCTAGCTGCTCGTGCAAACGGTCCTACACCCATGGAGCTGGGAATGATGGAGAGGCAGCCGCGAAATACCTCAAACGTCATGTGCCACCAATGCGGGAAGATGGGACACATCAAGCGGAACTGCCCGAATCGTCGCAGCCCGAACGAAGGACGGGGAAACGGACAGCGCCAGTAGCTGTGGGGCAGACCTCTGGTGCATCGCATGCCCCGCTTCTCCCGACCCCATTGTTCATCGGCACCTCTGAACTCTACACCACATCAAACGCTCCATTCCCCGCCATCATTCTATACGCAAAAATAAAGAATCGCTACGTTGACTTTCTGCTCGACACCGGCGCTTCAGTAAATTTTCTCTCTCCCTCAATTGCTGCTGAACTTTCTCTCCCCGAAGATCCCAACAGCAACCCGCAGGCCGTGATCATGGCAGATGGTACCCGGCGGCACTGCGGACCTACCCTCCTCCCCGTGCATTGCATGTTTGGAAGTCTAGAGGCGACGGTCACGTTCGAGCAACTGCACCTCGGGGGGTACGAAGGCGTTATCGGTCGACCATGGTTGCACCAGTTTGGACCGCGGATTTATTGGCGCAACGGAACTGTCACCGTCGGCAGCTACGACCTCCCATCCCACTCCTTCCGTCGACCATGGTCATCCCCAACCAGTTCCGCTTCGTCAACCCACCCACCCCAACCTGCCCCATCCCCATCTTCCCATATCCCCCCTCTCCCTCCTCCTCGCATAGCTCCCGTGCAGCAGCCAACACCACCCGGCTCTCCCGAAGTGATCAACACACCTCCTCCTTCTCCACCCCACCCAACCCAGCAGCCACGCCGTCCCATCATCCGCCCCACCTCTGAAGTTATCAATCCACCAGCCCCCACCCCTCCTTCACCACCTCCTCCTCATCATCTCCTAGTCATCTTCACGGCTCCCGAATCTGACGCATCAGCTACTCCTCTGCCATCAACCATACAGAATCTGCTCAACGGCTATACGGACGTGTTTCCCGATGATCTACCCTCCGAACTTCCACCTGAGCGTACTATTGACCATAGCATCCGCCTCATTCCAGGTTCTACACCGCCCGTGCGCCCAACCTATCGCATGAGCACTGCTGAACTTTTAGAGCTTCGACGACAACTCGATGACCTTCTTGCGAAGGGTTTCATCCGCCCCAGCACCTCACCATACGCTGCCCCTGTGCTTTTCACTCGCAAGAAGGAAGGTGACTTGCGCCTCTGCATCGACTACCGCGCCCTCAACGCCATCACTATCAAGAATAAGTACCCGCTGCCCCGTGTCGAGGAGTTGTTCGACATGCTTGGGGAAGCAACGGTTTTCAGCAAGCTCGACCTACGCTCTGGTTACCACCAGATCCGCCTCGCCGAAGACGACATCAACAAGACGGCGTTTCGAACCCGCAACGGCCACTTCGAGTTCCGAGTACTTCCGTTCGGCCTCACCAACGCACCTGCCACGTTCATGGGACTCATGAATGATATTTTTCGGCCCTTCCTCGACCGCTTTGTCATCGTGTTCCTCGATGACATCCTCATCTTCAGCAAGTCACTTGAAGAACATGCTCAGCACCTACGCATCGTCCTCGACACCCTCCGCCAACACCGCCTCTATGCCAAGCTCTCCAAGTGCACCTTCGCCCGTTCAAGCATCGGCTTTCTTGGCCATGTCATCAGCTCCAAAGGCATTGCTATGGACCCTGCAAAGGTCCAGTGCCTTGCTGATTGGCCAGCACCACGCACGGTAGCGGAGCTGCAAAGTTTCATCGGCCTCGCCAAGTACTACCGGAAATTCATATTCAACTTCTCTCACATCTGCGCCCCGTTGACTGACCTCTTTCGTCAAGGAGCTGCCTTTCAATGGGGACTACCGCAGCAGACCGCTTTCAACTCAATCAAATCAGCACTCACCTCGGCACCGGTCCTCACCGTCGCTGACCCATCGCGCCCATACTTCATATGGACCGATGCTTCCGATGTCGCTATTGGTGCTATTCTTTGCCAAGACCACGGCCATGGGATGCAGCCACTTGCATTTGAGTCACGTAAGCTTCAACCGGCAGAGCGCAACTATGCAACACATGACTGGGAGCTCCTTGCCATTGTCCACGCAATCAAGACATGGCGCTGTTACGTGGAGCTGCAGCCCGTCACCGTCTACACCGACCATCGCCCTCTTCAACACCTCAAAACGCAGCCCATGCTCAGCCGCCGCCAAGCCCGATGGGCTGAGTTCTTGGAGCAGTTTGTCCCATCACTTCAGATCATCTACCGCCCCGGGAAGCTCAATCCAGCCAACATCTTGTCCCGACCACAACCACCAGCCCCACCACCCACCAACCAGCCCCAACCAACCACCAACCAGCCCCACCACTCCCCCACCAGCCCCATCTCATCACCTCCACCTCACACTCCAAACCCACCCTTGCAACTCCATGGAACCAGCAGCATCACATGGGATGATGCCTTCATCACAAAGTTTCAGCGCGCCTACAAACGTGACCTGTTTTTTGTCAAGCAAGCACCCGAGGACCCGGCCTACTCATTTGAAGACCCGTTTTGGTACAACGCCGTTACGAAGACCATTTGTGTCCCTGCTGATCGCTCCTTACGGCAGCTGCTACTCTCCGAATACCACGACACCGCTACCGGCAGCCACTTCGGTATTGAGAAGACCTATGCACGCATCTCCAACGACTACCATTGGCCACGCATGCATGCTGACGTACGTGACTTCGTTCGTAGCTGCCGAACCTGCCAACAACTCAAAGCATGCACCACCAACCGCTACGGACTCCTTCAACCCATTCCTCCACCTACCAAAGCTCGGGACGAAGTCACCATGGACTTCATCATGGATCTGCCCCGCACACCGCGCAACTACAACGCTATCCTAGTCGTCGTCGACCGACTCTCCAAAATGAGCCACTTCATTCCCACCCACACAACCGTCACCGCACCCAAAACAGCCCGCCTTTTCTTCGATCACATAGTCTGCCTACACGGTCTCCCATTCGCCCGTGACCCTCGCTTCTTGAGCAACTTTTGGCAAAGCCTCTTCAAGCTTCATGGAACCCGGCTGAAATTTTCTACAGCATATCACCCCGAAACGGACGGACAAACCGAACGGATGAACCGCACGCTTGAAGACGCCCTTCGTGCACAAGTTACCGCTTGCCAAACTGATTGGGACCTCCACCTCACCGCCATCGAACTCGCATACAACAGCACACCCCATCTTTCCACCGGCCAGCCACCCTTCTACCTCGCAACCGGACAGCACCCACGCCTCCCAATGACCCCACCCTCCCACCTCTCCCACGCACCAGCAGCCTTTGAGTTCCTCACCTCACTCGAATCAGCCATTGATGCCGCTCGCACCTCCATCCTTCAAGCACAAGCCAAACAGACCCACTATGCCAACTCCCACCGCAAAGATATCCGCTTCAAGGTTGGCGATCAAGTGTTACTCTCCACTGACCACCTACCCCTGCTTCGCAAAGGCACAACCAGAAAACTTGCCCCTCGCTTCATTGGCCCATTCACCGTCACCCGAGTCCTCTCCCCGGTCAACTACCGCCTCCAACTGCCCAGCTATATGAAGATTCACCCCGTCTTCCATGTCCAGCGCCTCCGCCCTTTCCGTGCACCTTCACATGACCGTCCAGCCACACGCCAACTGCCACCGATGTTCGAAGGCTGCCCCGGCCTGTTTGAGGTTGCATCTATCACTGCTCACCGCGACACACCTCATGGTCGTGAGTTTTTTGTTCATTGGAAGGATCAGCCTGCTAGTGAGGACTCATGGGAACCCGAGAGCCACCTTGACCGCGCCTCAACTGCTGTGAATCGATACTTGACCAGCCACGGTTTGGCGCCGTGGACGACGCCACTTGGAGGGGGAAGTAATGTAACAGTGCAGCAGCCGAATGCTGCCAACTGCAATGCAGGTGGGCGGAAGTCAATCGTAACAGTGCAGCAACTCAACTCCAAGAACAGTGCAGGTGGGCGGAAGTCAAGCGCAACCTCACCTACAGTTCGGATTGGTCAAGCGCCCCATCCTGCAGCTGGGCGACCAGATTCCGACACGCAGCCCAAGTCAATCCCACGCACGAAAAGTACGAAATGCAGGACTCCGAAGTTCCGACCGCTCGCCGACTTCGCCAACAACACCGACGAAATTACAGCCCCGTAACCAAGCTCGCCGTCCAATCCCGTACCGCAATAATTCTCTGAATTTCACGGCAGGTTCATTTCAAAGGGTTGGGTTACCATTGAGAAATTCAGAGAGAGAGTCGCGACTTGGGAGTGCGACTCGATGTTTGAATGTGCTCTATAAAATTGTACTGTCAAATTTGTGAAGTCATAGTGAAATTTCCAGAGAATTCCAGAGAGCACTTCATCCCCGTTCTCCTAGCCTACTAAGGCTGCTACTTCCCTGCCAGCAACGTTTCAAACGCGCTTGACTCTTGTACCACCACTGTAAGGAATTTTCCGGATTCCTTACTGGGTCACACTGTACGCGTACAACCCCGACTTTCAGAAAACCAGGCTCGGCCCGCCGACCTCGCCTTCCGAGCCACCACCGCGTCGCTTTCGGGTTTTCCAACCCCGAACCTGCACCCAACCATCTCGCGACCCCGTGACCTCGGCCTAGCTAGCCTTGCTATATTGTGCCTAGGCCTCGTTGTTCATTCAGACGTTGTAATCACTTCCGCATTATTGAGTTCTGCGCACTCTTTCCTTTCACAACTTATAACACTTGGTATCAGAGCCTAAAGTCCTAGGTTACCCTCGCGTTTCCGGGGTAGTTTGTAGAAGGGGAGCGATAGACTTGGTGGGCTGTTAAGCGGTCGGCCCGTGGAATAGATCTGATTATTCCACTCCGACTACGATAGCATTAACGCCTTCACCGAAGTCAGAAAAATCGCGAGCCACCCCCTGCCCGTTCGACGAAGCCTGAGGCACATGGAGCAGGCCGGGTTCAACGAGTTCATGCAACAGTTCCGTGCGATGCAGGCCAACTTGCAGGGTATGACTGCAGAGATGGAGCGTCTACGGAAGGAAAACGCCGAACTACACCAGGCGCGTGGTGAAGCGCGCCAGGAGTCGCCTGTCGTGGACGACGCAAGTAGCAGCACTACACCAGATGAGCGGGTCTGGAGCGAGCTGGAAGGCGAGATGGATGCGGACGAAGCGAGGCAGGCGCAGCAGGAACAGTCGCCACAACAATCGCGTGCAGTACCACCACGTGCAGCAGCGACGACGACGGCGACGCCAGCAGCAATGCCAATGGCCCCGATGGCAGCAACGGCTTTTGTGAAAATCAAGCCGACAAACCCGCCCCCATTTAACCCGAGTGACAAGTTTGTCACTGTTTCCGCATGGTTATTCGGTGTGGAGGTGTTCTTTAATGCTGCTATGATTTATGACGACGCCACCCGCATTAATTTCGCAGTTTCACTGTTGCGAGGACCTGCGCTGGAGTGGTGGAGGCGAACGCTGCAACACGAAGGGACTTCGGCAGGAATAGCACGTGCGAACGACGGGACTTCAACACCTGTCACGCATCAGGCAACATCGATTTTCGGGACTGCCACGATACCCACATGGAAGGAGTGGGGCGCCGCCTTGCGAACCAGATTCGAGCACGTATCCGCCTCGGACTCTGCTCGCATGCAGCTGCGTACCTGGAAGCAGCTGACTTCAGTCCAAGACTACACCAGCAAATTCTGCAACTTGGCGGACCAGGTGGACGACATGAGCGACGCGGAGCGGTTGGATCGCTACGTGGCGGGCCTGAAATACGAGATACAGTACGAGGTCCGACGAACCCGGCC